TCCCCTCCCTCCCTCCCTCCCTCCCTCCCTCCCTCCCTCCCTCCCTCCTCCTCCCTCCCTCCCTCCCTCCCTCCCTCCCTCCCTCCCTCCCTCCCTCCCTCCCTCCCTCCCTCCCTCTCTCTCTTCCTCTCTGTCCTCATCGACTTACACGTCCTCTTGCAGGTAGCCAAGTGTAAGTATGCCGTGAGCATGGAGCAAACGATCGCTGAAATCGCTGCAATCTTTGGCACGGACTGGATTCAGGTCACAATTTACGGCGCTACTCCTCCTCTACCCTTCCTCTCTGCTGCGTCCTGCTTCCTCGTTTTCCTCCCTTCTTATCTCTCTTCCTTCCCCTCCTTCCTCCCCTTCTTCCCTTCCACACTACCTCCTCCTCCTCCTCCTCCTCCTCCTCCTCCTCCTCTCCCCTCTCCTACTCACGTTTTGATACTTCAGATCTTCAATCTCAACGCCATGACCAGCCCTGACATCATCCTCTTCCGCCATCAAGTGCTCAACGTCGGTCATCTCTACTCCGTCGCTGTCGGGGACTCGCTCGACAGCATTGCCCGCCGCTTCGGAACTTCTCCGCGCAGCATCATGTTCCTCAACTACGAGCTGGGCGAACTGAATGTGAGAGGCAGGAGGAGGAGGAGGAGGACAAGGGAAGAGGATAAGGAGGTGGAAGAGGACTAGGTGGAGGAGAGCAGAGGATAAGGAAGAGGAGAAGGAGGAGAAGGGCAGAGAAGGAAGAGGACTGGGAGAAGGAGGAGGAGGACTACGAGGACGAGGGTAACGCGAGGGGCAGAGGAGTGGGGAAGGTGAGGGGAGATTGACTTGACGTGAAACGATGGCAGTCGACGAACATCACGGTAGGAAATGAGATCTGTATCATCGCCAATTCTTGCTTCGGGGAGATTCAGAGCTTCTGGGATCAGAACCCCAAGGTCATACGCCTTCCCTTCCTCTTGCTCCCTGCTCACCCCTCTTCTACCTTGCTGCTGCCCTTCCACTGCTCCTGCTCCTGCTCCTGCTCCTCCCCTTAACTGCCCCTTCCACTGCCCCTGCCCCTGCCCCTGCCCCATTACTCCGTTATTCCTTGCTTGCTTCTCCTTCTGTTTCAAGTCACAACTGGTCTGCTGACATGGTATGCAGCCGGATCAAAGCTTAGAGCGATGGTATGCGGATGTCATGGCTGCGTATAACGAGCTGAGAAGAGCCAAGGTAAATGACAAGCGCGAGAGGAGGAGGAGGAGGAGGTGGTGGTGGTGGTGGTGGTGGAGGCGGCGGGGATGGTTGGAGGAGGGAGGAGGGAGAGAGTGGAGGAGTAGGTGGAGTTGGTGGGGGGAGGAAGTTGAGGAAGATGAGGAGGAGGGAGGGAGGGAGGGAGGAAGGACGAGGACGAGGACGAGGACGAGGAGACTTTTTTCGTAAGTTTGTGACCTTTGTGCTAGGCTGCTGCACTCGCTTCTAGCGGAGCATTGCCACCGGTGTGATGAGTAGCAGAGAAATCGATTGGAGGAGGCGGGAGGAGAGCGGAAGAGGAGGAACGAGTAGGTTTGAAGGTGTAGAATATGTTCAACTCATGTGAAGTAAACATGCAGAAATGTAGAACTATCCCATTTGTGCCTGTTTGCTCCATCTCCTTCTACTACTCCTGCTCCTGCTCCTTCAACTTCAACTTCTCCTTCTCCTGCTCCTGCTCCTGCTCCTTCTCCTGCTCCTGCTCCTGCTCCTGCTCCTGCTCCTGCTCCTTCACATTGATATACATTTCCTCGTGACACGATCTTCCTGACCTCCCTCCCTGATGTCTCTTTTCCCTCTCCCCACCCTCTCCTCTGCTCCCTCTCTCTCACTCTCCTCCTCTCCTCCTGCCCCCTCTCTCACCCTCCTGCCCTCTCCCTGCTTCCTCTCGCCCTCCTTCCCTCTCTGTCTCGCGCTCTCCCTCTCTCTAGAACCTCCATAGGACGGACACAAGTTTATCAAAAGGAAAATTTACAGGAAGAGGACGAAGGAGGAAAAATCTCAGTTGGCTTCCTTGACCTTCAACTGCTCGCGGTACATGGCACCGGAAACATCTGTCGCGAGCTGGAGGCAGAGTCAGGGACAAGTCAGCATGGCGTCGCCGCCAACTCACAATCTTCTTCCTGAGCTCTTCGTCCCTCTCCATCCTTTCCCGCGCCTCCCTGCCATGGCAACCAGGTGAGCGACCGCGCCCCCCTCCCTCCCTCCTCCCTCACGAGTTCAGCCTTTTGGTCTGTTCAGCAGGGCTCATGTCATCCGTCTCCTGCGACGCGAAGCCGATGGCTCCTACAACCCCGCCGATGAGGACGAGAGGGATGATCACCAGAGCGATGGGCATGGGAGCTGCGGACCACATCAGCGGTGTCATGCACGAATCACTCCATCTTCATCTTGATGTACAGCATCTCCTCCTACACTTAACCCTCGTCCTCATCATCCACTACCTCACCACCTCCCGTCTCGTTTTAGATGTTCTCCTGACTCATCTTGTCGTCTCGATGCTAAACAGAAAAGCTCTCTCCTTCCCTCCCTCTGATCATGCTTGTTACTCCCACTTCTTTCTCCTTCCTGTCTTCTTCATCATGCTCCTCCCCTCCCCTCCCCTCCCCTCCCCTCCTCCTCCTCCCCTCCCTCGTCATCATTTTCTGTCATTTCGGCTTCCCAAGGGTTGAACCCCAACCAAAAACCTCCCCAGACATGTACCCCCACCTAAATATCACCCTACCCATATCAAAAGTTCATTGATGGACTACCCACCCTTCATATCTATTTACCCCATCATTGATATGAAAGTACCCACGTCGTATACCATAAATCTTGGTTATTGGCCCCACCTCACCCCATCACTCAAACTTATTTACTACCCCTACCTACTCTACACAAATACCCACCCACCCAGACAATGTAAAGAGCCCATGGCTACCCCTACCTACTACTGTCATTTGTCCCCGTCGAGTCACCACCTATAGACTAAAAGTGTTTTAACAAGACCATTAAAATGTTTTATTAGACTATTGACTATCAATTTTGTACAGATCATTTTATATAAATGAAATGTTTGAGTCTGCCACAATATATATGTGTTATCAGGTAAATATATAATCTGTACCAGAGTAAATGCCAATAATGAGTTTTAAGCACCCCATAAATTTCAACCCTTGCTCGTAAAGTTGAAATCATGAGAGTCGATTACAGCCATTCGTGAAAGATTTCAAAATTAAAACGATGTTGGGTGCGGGTTTTGAAATGGCGTCGACACGGCGCGCGTGAGGAGGGGAAGTCAGGAAGAGAGGAGGAGGGGAACAACGAGGATAAGAGCGAAAACAAGCAGGATGAGGTAAGATTCTGACTCTGCGCCGGGTTCTGAAGTGATGTTGTCGACGCTCTCTGGTTGTTTCCATGGGGGACATTTTGTGGACCACAATTGGGCGATAGGATGAACCTCACGATAGCTCCCTACCATTGTGTCTCCCGATAAGATCTTCATTTCAAAGTCGCACATTAGTTGTTTGCCTGTCTTAAGACATCATGTTGACCTGTTTCATCACGTTGCCATGTGCCATTGCAACTCCGCTTGCGTTAAGGGTCCTTTCATTGAAATGTGAATCAAGAACTTGACGTTCGATCTCATGTCTCCCTCATGAAAAATGATGTCTCTGTATCATGCCGTGGCTGCAGCCCTGATGCCTGCCATGGACTCTTGCCAATGGAGTTGTCTGTGCCCGCGTTCCTTGCAACGGAAGCTCTGCCAGAGGACGAGCAGTGGAGTGTTGTGGTGTTGCTGTTGGAGGATTTTCATGTTGATTATGCTGATGTAATACCATGCATTCTATCAGGTGCTCATGGGTTTTTGCTGCTCACCATTCGAATACTGCGCCTTGACTTGCAGAACACCATCACAGTTGAAGGGAAGTGGAGGGGATAGCGAAAGGTTATACCACACACTTGATGGCGGCTTCCTGAGCATGGGTGTTCAGGACGAGGAATATTGTTTCGTTGCATTGACGGGAGGTGACGATGGGCCAATGCTGTACACGAGAGGTTCCATACCGCCTCGCTGCCTTGTGGCCCCCTGACGGAGGATTTCTTGGCAGCAGGAGAGCAAGCGCGGGGGCCTGATGCCGGAAAAGAGGGATCGGTGAGATGCAAGCTCTGTCTCTTCATCTCTTCATCATGCGTGCAGGCAGTTTGCCACCATCCAAATGCCTCTGTCTCCAGCGCATCCGCAAAGAGTCTTGGTGCGGCCTCCCTCGGCTTCTGGGTTGTTGGATGGTTCTGAAACTGTTGTTTGCAGCGAAACCAACAGTATCAGGAGCACGGGTTCATCTCAGAACATCAGCTGGCAAACTTGAAGTATCCGTGTGACGGTCGTTGTCGCCGTTCCTAACCTGAGCACAGCTCCAAGTACCAGGACTTCGAACAAAATGAGCTTTACGCTCGCAACAACTATCAAGAACGGGGGATTTATCCTGCTGCTGTTGGGGAGGTCAGGAAGGTAGATCGTGTTGGGTGACTAGGGAACCATCTGACGTGCACTGCGTGCCTTGATAGCCTGCGCAAGCTCCTCCAGGCTCGAAGCCCTTCTCTCCGTACAATGACGGCAGGCATGTGCTGGAACAAAAGATGCAGCGTTACGCGCAGAATGATATCGGCAGTAACGGTGTTCGTCGTCCCTTGATGTTCGGGAGCGAGGGAGCGAACCAGCAACATCATCATAACTCGCCTTACCGAGGAACGGCCCCGCCGGGCTGCCCCGGGCAGGGCCCGTCAGTGGGGGGGATGCAGATGAGGAACGAGCAGTTTGGAGTTCCGTCATCAAGCATGGACGGGTGAAGTCTGATGGACAACCTTGCTGTGGTGGCGAGTGACTGGGTGTGAGCAGGGACGGAGACCTAGACATCAGCTCGGAGGATGTAAGCTCTCCTGCCTCTGACGCTGTTCCTCTCTTGCCCTGATGCATGCCTGTCATGAACAGGAGCGAAGCAGATTGAGCCAACAAGCCAAGCCCAGACCAGCGTTCGTGCCTCCTCTGCCGCTCAAACAGAAGGTAGTACTGGAGTGCCAGGAGGGAGAAGAGCTTCCAGTCTCCTCATACCATGTTGATTTCAGGGGATAGAAGGACAGTTCGGATCCGGTTCTACCTAGCCAACTGCCTTGTAACGTCTTAGGCTTGTTTGCCAAAATAACAAGATTGTGGCCATATTCTCAACATTGCCAGGGTGTCACACGGCCAGTGACGGCCCGGCTCCCAGTTCGGACCACTGACCACTAGGGCCCGGGAAGCCGCTCAGGCCCGGACCGGCCGCGCGTCCGATCGCCGGGCCGCGCTGACTGTCACGGCAAGTCCCGGCGGGCCGCGGGTCTGCCACCCGGGCCCCGGTGAGTACTAGTGAATCGCCGGGCCCTGTCAGTCACTCTCCGGCGGGCCCGGGGCTGTAGGGCCAGCGACTGAGGGTGGGGTGAAACATGGGGAGGACTAGGGGTAGTGGAGTTGAGGGGGATGAGACAGTGGCTCTTGGCAATGATGGCGCGAGGAGCGAAGGGATGGGCGGGGCCTCTGCTGCTGATGGCGGCAGGTGTCGCATGCCTGTACGTGGGAACCAGCATGTATCGGTCGAGGGTGCAGAGAGCTGCTCTCTTCTATGCTGAAGTCGAACGCCCTAGGGGGATGTTGGTGGAGGTGTGTAAGAATCCTACACACGACATCATGTTTGTGTATGAGATGAACGAGTCCCGTTGTGTTGGAGGAGCCTTGTTCTCCTCCCTGCGATGCAAGAGTTGAATGTGAACCCAGACTCGCACCCGCTCGCCTGTCTCTGCTGCGACTCCATGCTCCTGCCCTTTGCTCCAGCTCCCTGACCTCTCCGTGCTTGAACCAGGAGTTGACGAGACCGACTTTGCTGGTTAGAAATTTCGCACTGGAACCCTTCATGGCGGCAGCTGCTACTTCAAGTTCTTCGTCTCCTCCTGCCGCGGCAGGCAAGGCGCCTTCATCCTCCGGCTCCCCCGCGCAGGTACAGATGGAGTACTTGCAGCATGCAGCGACGGATCAAGCATGCTGCTGGTCACGAATGACATGCTTCATCGTCAGGCATCATCATCTCAGCCGGCCAGCACAGGAGTGTTCCCTCCAGACGGTAATGCGGATCAGGACCAGAAGCAGGCCGCGAGCAAGAACGAGGTTTGTTCCAAGAGCCTGCAGGCTGGTTGGGTGACGACAGTGACAGAGCAAGGCTGAGGAGGAGGGTGTGTTCCCTCCCGGCGTCGACGACGATGAGGGCAAAAGTGACAAGGTTCGATCGTCTTGGACGATGAGCCCTGCTGGACTGAAAGACCTCTCCTCCCTTCACCCCAGGACAAGCAAGCTGATGCAAGCAAGGGCCAAACCTCTGGTCCTGTCCTGCCGCCCTCGCAGAAGCTGCTGCAAGCGTGCGGGGTAAGAGGACCAGCTCGTCTGTCCGAGACTGAGGACGTCGCAGGCCAGGGCGTGTGCTGCGGGAAGAGGATGCGACAACAGGAAGGTGAGGACTGTTGGCCGTGAGGTCGGAAGGAGGTGAAGGAGGTTCGTTCCAGTTCTTCAGCTGCCTGCGAGTCCGGCAGTCTCAGCTGCGGCGGATCATCTGGTTAAAGAAGCGTGCTCTCCGCGCCTCTGCCGTGGGTGCTCGGCTGCCCCACATGCTCACCTCCTCCGAGGGTATCCTGGGCTCGCTGCCTGTGATTGATGAGAGCAACGGAGGTGGGAGCGCCTGCTATTTGGAGGGGGGGGGGAGGGGGGGGGGGGAAGGAGCAACCGAGCTCAACAAGCCTGTTCAGGACCCTTGGCTGACCTTCCCGACGCTCCTCTGAACCCCATGGAGAACCTTCCAGCTGAGAACTATCCGGCCTCCGGCATGCTCGGCAGCTATCCGGTGGTAGAAGCTTCGTCAGGACCACTAGGTGACTTGGCGGAGTACTCCTCCCCTCTGCACTCAAGTCCCTGCCCCTGCCCCTGCCCCTGCCCCTGCCCCTGCCCCTGCTCTGTTCCAGTCTCTATCCCCTTGCCCCCTCCTCCCACCCTCTTCCCTGCCTCCCTCGTTGGGTGTTACATGACCCGACTTTGCAAGGTGCCTATCCCGTGGTGGAAGTGAGCGGAGGACCTCTCTCCACTCTCCCTGCAGGTTTGCTTCCTCTGCTTTGTCCTTCAACCTCACGCTGCTCCTCTTCGTAGACAACTCAGCAGAAACCTGTGGCGCTGCCTCTTGCAACGAGGACGGGTGTGCGGACGAGGCCTTCTATGCATGCATGCACCAGCTGTATGCTCGTCGGTACGGGATGGCACAAGCTGTTCGTCGTGTCTAGAGGCATGTAGATGTAGAAAGCGCGGTTCTTCGCTGTGAAGAAACTTGCAACATGTACATCGTGCCTGCTCTCTCACAGCAGTTCAGATTGTTGTGTTCAACACTTGTACTCACACCACAACAAGTTGAGGTCTCACAGGAGAAGAAACTCAAACACATCAGTTACGTCATTCTCATGTCCAACAGCTCCTGTTCACCTATCCGTCTCTCCCCCGTCTGCTGCGAAGGCATCGAGGCACAACCAAGCACGTGCGCAAGCTAGAAGCAGAAAAACACGAACGAGGCGACGAGTATCAGGGAGCTAAGAGAAATCTTGATCTGGCGATCCTGCCTGGAGCAGGAAGGAGAGAAGATAGAAATAGCTCACTACCAAGCACAAACCCACGATCACTGCGATCAACAGAGTGAAGGGATTCAAGCCAAGCCTCAGCTTCCAGATCGACATGCTGTATTTGTTTGTCGCTCTCCGTGTCTTTAAGAGTTGGTAGCGGTTACAAGTGGATACGAGGAAAGTAATGTAGCCGAAGGTCCTGCTGCTGTCTAGGATTCTCCGTCTCAAATGCTCCCAGCCTTTGGAATTTCCCGATAGCAAATATGAATGATCAAGTCAACTTCACTTGAAAGCTTAAATCTGTCTTCCTCGTTGTTGTCTTGCTCTTGCTCTTGCTGCTCTTCTTCTTCTTCTTCTTCTTCTGCTCCTCCGCTTCACTTCGGCATTGCCGCGTCACCCCAGCGTTCGATGGAATTGAACCACCCCCCGGATCATTAATACCCCTACCAATGAACACCCCACCCATTATTATCTAAATTTATCATTATATTATAACGGGTCATATACTACCCCCACCCTACCTCTAAATTCACCGATAGAGGACACAAAGCAGTGACGGTTACGATTAACGTTATATTGTTTAACGGCCCTCGGAACGGCTCTGCGAAGGGACATGGCATAAATGGCGAACGAGTTGGAGGAGGAGACAAGCAGGAGGCGGAGGGCGACGATGGCGCAGTCCATGGCCTCCGTTTCTTCTCTCATCCTGATCGCAATGAAGGTGAGAAGGGCAGAGGGGAGGAGAGTGGAAGGGAGGAAGGGAGAGTAGGTGGAACTTGTTTCCTGACCTCTGTCTGCATGCTGTGGTGTTATGTTTTTCTGGTAGTCCTGACCTTGTCTTGGTATGGTTCTTGTGTTCAAGTTCTCTATTCTCTCTCCTCTTTGCGCTCTGTCTCCTTCCCTCCCCCGTCCTCCATCCCCTGAAGCTGACTCTCTCGGGATCCTGAGAGGAATTCTTTCAGTGCGGTAACCAATCCTTTGTTGAGTTGGTTTACCGATTAGGACATAGATCTTGTCGCCCTATGTAACTCATGTTTGAACTAACAACCATGTATAGATCATGCTCATCTGCCAGTACTCCATGTTCCCTTCCTCGTTCTCTTCACTTGCTGGCAAGGGTGTCTCACTTCTACAATCGTCGAGGTATGCCTACACACTCCCCTGCATTCCTCTCTCCTCTCCTCCCCTCCTCTCCTATCCCCTCCTCTCCTCCTCTCCCCTCCCCTCCCCTCCTCTCCTCTCCTCTCCTCTCCTCCCCTCGTCTCCCCTCGTCTCCCCTCGTCTCCTCTCCTCTCCTCCTCTCCGCTCCCCTCCTCTCCTCTCCTCGAGCGCAATCACGACAATCAAGCACATCAATCAACACTTACGTCTCGCTTCTTTCCGCATCGGTAACAATGAGTCTTGGAGGCGAAGACAGAAGCACTGGATCTCCTATCAGCATCTCCTTCCTCCTGCTTCTCTTTCCCTCTACACCTCTACCTCTATTCCCTCCTCCCCTCTCCTTCCCAGTACTTCTCCCCTCCCTTGCTCTCCCCTCTCTCTTTTCTTTTCGACTTACTTGCACAGGGGACAAGTCCAGTCTCCAGGCCTACTCCGATCCTCCTGGTCCCGCCTGTCCTCCCGGTCCCTCCGATCCTCGCGGGTCCCTCCGATCCTCCCGGTCCCTCCTGTCCTCCCGGTCCCTCCTGTCCTCCCGGTCCCTCCGATCCTCCCGGTCCCTTCGCTCACGTGCATGTTCATCTTTGTCTTGGCGCTTGTCAGAACTCTCCGACTTCTTTTGTTGCGCCAGAAAAGTCTCAAGGAACGAGCCGTCATTGCGAAATTGATTGAAAGAATCCACTCCTGCTAACACACACAGATTTACAAAGCTCGACAGATTTTGCCCA